TCGCCAAACTTTGGGGGGTTGTTTCACCCCTTAAATGTGGACCATTGCAGATATAAAAAAACACGTGTCTCTTAGATTTTTGTGTTCTTCGATATATATGGAAATCAATAAGCTCGGAGGCGGACACTTGGGAATGTTTCCTTGTTAGCCGAATCTTAAAATCGGGTTAATGTTCCGTCCACCGAACCCTAAAATTAAATCCCAGTTTTCTAACGCATAATCGCAGTCTTATAACGAACATTAAACTTATTTTCAGCGGACAAAGTCTGCAACGCGACATCCATATGCAGTCACTTTTGCAGAAGAACACCGGGGGGCCCTGTATGCTCTTGTAAAGAGGGTTACAAACTGGAAAACAATCGTACGTGTGTGGGTAAGTAAATTCCGAACAAAATTTAATTTCACGAAACATTCCCATGCATAATACTCATAACAGCATGAAATTAATTTTTAGGGGAACTAGGAAAAGGGCCAACAATAAATAATTAAGGTAACTTTGGGTAATAAAATATTTCAAATGTCTGGTAAATATTTACAAAATGTACGATATTCGTTAAATATATAGAAAATATAGGACAAATATTTGGTGCTACTAGGGAAGCGATTGAATATTTTTTGGACTTAAGGTAATGTGAAAGTGGCGTTGAAGAGGTTTTGTTTATAACACTTTTCTCCCAACTCGGTTAACAGAATAGTTTGAAACTTTACAACGTGAATAGGGAGACCATAAGGAAGGTCCTGAAACTCATGAAATTTCAATTCTTTTCAAATTTATTCTCTAGGTATTTTAAAAACAGTTTATAAAAAATGAAATTTCGCGAGTTTTAGAACCTTTAGGGTCTCCATATTCACGTTTTAAAGTATGAAACGATTTGTGGCACCCAGTTCGTAAAAAAGTCTTATGAACAATTGAGCTTTCGGATGCCATTTTCACATCCCCTTAATAACGATTTTCACTCTATTCGTTTCCTGTTTTTTTCAATTTATTTATCATTTCCTTTAAGACGCATATAATCGACTGTCATGATTCTTATTGTACAGATATTAACGAGTGCAACATATACGGTTTATGCGACCAACATTGTTTAAACAAAAATGGTTCCTACCAATGTCAGTGCGAGCACGGATATCAGCTGCAAGATGACAATACAACATGCAAAGCTGAAGGTAAAATACCTCTCTCCCTTATGGACCATATTTTCCACTTTTTTAAGGCAGTGTGAAAGTGACGTCAATGAGGTCTCGTTTATGACACTTTTCCCCGAATTGGGTATACCGAATTATTTCAAACTTTACAACATAAATATAGAGACTACAAATAAGGTCCTGACACCCATGAAATTTCAATGTTATGAAAATTTGTTTATAAATATTTTCAAGAGTTTTTATAAAAAATGAAATTTTGCGAATTTCAAGACCTACTATAGGGTCTTCAAATTCATGTTGTAAAGTTTGAAACGATTCGGTACACCCAGTTCGGAGAAAAGTTTCACGAACGATTGACTTCTCCGATGCCACTTCCACATCCCCTTAAAACTTCCAATTAACACACTGTGTGCGGCACTCTGCTCGCTCAATGACTTACAGGGCCCACACATTTTTGAGCGCCCAAAAAAATGTTGTACAATGTATATATGCGCTTTTTTTATTCACATTTATCAAGTATTCTTAACTATTACTATATCTCTCTTATACATCTATTTATTATGTAGGCGTTTTTTATCTTGACTTTCATATCCTTTATTTCCATGAGACATTTTGCTATTTTTTTAGAATTAGGGTCTATTTTGTAAAATAAGTAAAAGTCTATTTCTTTACAAATTAAAGCGCGGACTTTCAAATAACAAAACGTTATACAACGATAAAACAGTTTATAAAGTATAGTGACGGACATGAATGCCTCCCCTGCAGATACGATATCGCCTGTGCAGGATGGGAAGGCATTGATGTCTCCCAGTGTACGATGCACGGTCGACACAGATGGACCGATATAATGGCTATACTGACCGATTTTGTAAAATAATTAAAAGGCTATTTCCTTACAAATTAAAGCGCGGACTTTCAAATAACAAAACGTTATGCAACGATAGAACACTTTATAAATTATAGTGGCGGACATGAATGCCTCCCCTGCAGATACGGTATCGCCTGTGCAGGATGGGAAGGCATTGATGTCTCCCAGTGTACGATACACGGTCGACACATGTCCATCGATATAATGGCTATACTGACCGATTGTTTTCAACTCTTTCGGAATTTCGACATACACTTATTTTGATAATCATTTGTCATAAGAATATACAAGGCTTCGTTGCCCTGGTAACGTAATAAGAATATCAATTTATTTTTAATTTCTTGAGTCGTCGATACGCCCGTATGAAAAAACATTAAAACGAGATATCTCGCGACCCGTAAGCAATGTGTTAAAATAATTAATTTCTTATTTATATTTATATTAATTGTTAAGGTGGCGAGGCCATTGTGGTTTTCTCGTCGAAAACAGAAATTGATGGCTTGTACCTCGGATCCAAGATCCATGTTCCCATGACTGTAAACCTGAAGCACGTTGTAGGCGTTTCTTTGGATTCCACTTATATCTATTGGTCGGACATAAAATATGGAAACGAGGCCATTTTCAGAAGCCTAATCGACGGTGACAAGCGAGAAGTCATTGTAACTTGTGGTGAGAAAATATGCTAACTACTTTACTCATACAATGTACTTACTATCTACAGGATGATTTTATCCACCTGAAACATCTTCGATATTGTAATAATATTGTAGGAAAAAATATTCGATGTAAATATTGTATCATTTCGTAATTGTTTTTACTAAAAATCGATTATTTTTGCTTTTCTTATTCAACTTGGAATAAATTGAAAGCCCTTGTAACTTTTTCCTTAATCTTTTCCAGGCTTAGGTTTACCTGAAGATATCGCGGTCGATTGGGTAACCGAAAATTTATACTTTACCGATAGTCAGTATAAACATATTGGTGTATGTAACGAAGGAGGAACTTATTGTACCGTCATTGTCAAAGAGATGGTCGATAAACCTAGAGGAATAGTCTTAGTACCTTCGGCTGGGTAAGTACCATCATATCCCTTTAAATAATTAAGACTCATTGATTCATCCCTCTATACTATTTAAAATATCTGTTCGAAATATAGAATATACAGGCGACAATTTCTCAAGATACAATATTTCGAAATTTCATATACATTCGCATTCGAGACTTTAGTAATCAAGTATACAAATTTTACACGACATGTGTACTAAATTTCAAAATCTTTTGTATACCGATTTCCGACTAGCGCCCCTGGTGGAAGTTCGCTCAAGTTTTATGCGAGGGAAATGTCCTCGTTGACGGCTTCGCATGTTTGCACCCAAAAATATTAAATTCGGTTATTCAACGGCGGTTCCCAGGGATATGGGGTGAAGTGAGGAGGGTACAACTTTCCCTGTGTAGCTCTTTTTTTTATTTTTATTAGTAGTTCCATGTAACAGGGCCATAAGAGTTGAACGAACATCGACACAGGCCACGTTGGGCCGCCATGACAGATTCGTAGGCTGCCAGTTCGGATTTTTACTCATTATTTATACTTTTTCTGGCAAATATTTGAAAAATCTGGCTCCGCAGGGAAAGTTATACTTTCGGAAGGCTATGATTTCATCCATTCAAGTTATTCAAAGTACATTCTCTACAAACATTTTGAGTACAAAGTTTCCCCGCTTCCGGCTCTCGTAGGTGTGATAACGCACACAGAGAAAATGATGTACCATTCCCCTTTAATACAGTGTAGTATTTTAATTAGATTTACAGTGACGATTATAATGAAGATAAAATATATTGGTCGTTGGAATCAATGTGAAAGCTTTTCTTAAATGAGATTATAATGATTTATTATAAGTAGTTTTCGAATTGTACGAAATGTATAATTAGAATTAGATGAAAATTAATTAATCGGCGTTCCTTTTTCCAGCCGAATGTATTGGAGTGACTGGGGCGAAAATCCTCATATAGCAACGGCAGGAATGGATGGTCAAGAAAGAACGGTATTTGTTTATGAAAATATGCAATGGCCTAATGGATTGGCTATAGATTACCCTAATGAGAGACTGTACTGGGTGGATGCCAAATTACAGATCATAGAATCAATTCGTCTGGATGGAAAAGATCGCAGGGTTTGTATCCGCATCAGTCGAATTTTTATCAAATCATGTATTCATTAAAATTGAAAACATTCATTAATTAAAAACCATAAATGTCATCATGCAACGTTTAAAGTTCTAAAAAATTTAAATGCTGTTTACAATGTTATTACAAATTAAGAGCAAAACAAAATTAAAATGAATGATACTGATTAAAGGTAAAAAACATAAATAAAATGAGGTATTTGCGTTAAGAAAAGGAATCATTGTGCATTCATATCCCACCAAACACACTATGTTACAATTACATAACACTGAAATAACATGATATAAAACGAATATTGTTCAAAAGATACATTAATATCATATAACGTTGTTACAAACTTGTGACCATTGCGGTTATATAATATTAACGTCACATATAACATATTACCGATGTGTTATGTATATGTTACATTATTCGTTTTATAACAGTGTATATAGCTGCGGAGGAAATAGTAATACAAATCTTACTTATATGTTATATGTATGTTACATTACATATTACAAACGTTATGTAACGGTTATATTATTGTTACGTAACCATGTTTGGTGGAATATGCTAGATTCTTGATTGGCACTAGCACATGCCGAACTGTACTTTTGACATGTCCAGGGTGAATAGTGTTTAACATCCCCTTAACATTTAATTCCAGGTGGTTCTTAAAGACGTGGCGCGTCATCCTTTTGCTATAGCTATTTTTGAAAATCGCCTTTATTGGAGCGATTGGTACAGCAACAGCATACAATCCTGCGACAAATTCACGGGGAAGAATCTTCAGATTCTATTTCGAAGAAGGAATGAGATTTATGGAATACATATATATCATTCCGTTCTGAAACCAGAAGTAAGTGCAACAATGACATTGTATTCTAAACCTGGAAGCAATAATGTGGGTAGTAAGCGTGGTGTATATAAAATATATAATTTATTTTATATTTTAATTTATATTAAATATATCATTTTTTTGTCAAGATATACTTAAAAATTGGCGAGGTACAACAATTCTTTGAATGTTTTTTTTTGCGGTGGCCACGATATCTCAAAAAGTATTTCACCGATCGGCTTATCATTTTTAGGGCTCATTCTACACATTGAGGACTGCTGAATGAACGAAGGATTCTTTTCATTTCTATGGAAATTTGCTGTTTTATTAAGGAAAAACGAAAATGTTATAAGACAAAAAAAGTGATTTTTTAGGAAAACCCCTGGCAGTTTGATAAAAATCAGAATTTCGAAAAATCCTTCGTTCATTCAGCAGTCCTAAATGTGTAGAATGAACCCTGAAAATTTGAAGCCGATATGAAGCATGAAATCATGCTCTGTTTCCGATTAAAAAATGCATTTTAGTTAAGGAAAAAAATTCTTGAATTTCGCATATGATATTTCGCAACTGCACATAACCCCTTAAGCTGCAATATTATCACCAGCCCACTATGAGCCCCATTGATTGTGTGCAATTTATTCATTATTTATACAAATGGTATTTGTTGGTTTGATATTTAGGTTTCATAGTAATTAAAGCGCGATTGTTGTAATATCAAAATCTAACGACTATTTAAAAAAAAATAAAAATGAAGATCTATTACTGACGGTGAACGCGATGTTATTATTAATTTGGATGTCTCGTTTCTTTTTCAGATTCCAAATCCATGCAATAATAAACCATGTTCGCAAATTTGTCTTCTAGCGCCAAACTCAAGGTATACCTGTGCTTGTACATTAGACATGGAGCTTAGCAGCAATCAACACACATGCAAAGGTTTTTAACGCCATTTTCCAATTATTTTACAAATGATTACGATTAAATGAATTTTTTGTTATTACTGTTTAATTGACCGATAAAATATATCTCACTTATTAGCACATATATAAAGTGATTAATGACAGAAAAGGTATTGCTTTCATTTTCAGTAATTTCTAAGAAACGCTACGTTGTGATTGCCGCCGGAAATGTGCTTCTGCGTTACTATCATGAGATCCTTGGAAGGCCAAAAGTTGTCCAAAGTGAAATTCTGAAACACACAACTGCTCTTGCTTACGACTCTTTGGATGGTAAGTACACAATTACTGTTGCTTTAGGTTCTTCGGTAAGATTTGAAAGTGGAAACCGTTTATATAGAGAATTTTTCTGCAACTTTTATTACATTATTACTGCTGTTATACTGCTCCTCTTATACCCGGTTCCACGGCTTCGCGCCTTCCTTTACGATTAAAGAAAAAGGAAGGAATTCCGTGAGAGGAAGGGAATTCGCACAAAAGCTTCGCGCCTTCCTTTACGATTAAAGAAAAAGGAAGGAATTCCGTGAGAGGAAGGGAAGTCGCACAAAAACTTCGTGCCTTCCTTTGCGATTGAAGAAAAGGAAAGGAATTCCGTGAGAGGAAGGGAACCCACACAAATCTTCGCGCCTTCCTTTACGATTGAAGAAAAAGGAAGGAATTCCGTGAGAGGAAGGGAACCCGCACAAAGGCTTCGCGCCTTCCTTTACGATTGAAGAAAAGGGAAGGAATTCCGTGAGAGGAAGGGAAGCCGCACAAAGGGTTCACGCTTTCCTTTACGATTAAAGAAAAATGAAGGAATTTCATGAGAGAAAGGGAAGCCGCACAAAAGCTTCGCGCCTTCCTTTACGATTGAAGAAAAAGGAAGGAATTCTGTGAGAGGAAGGGAAGCCGCACAAAGGCTTCGCGCCCTCCTTCACGATTAAAGAAAGGAAAATGAAAAGGAGAGATAGGAATTTTGTGGGCCCCTCAGCAAGTCCTAAAAGGAAAGGAATTCCGTGAGAGGAAGGGAAGTTGCACAAAAGCTTCGCGCCTTCCTTTACGATTAAAGAAAAAGGAAGAAATTCCGTGAGAGGAAGAGAAGCCGCACAAAGGCTTCACACCTTCCTTTACGGTTAAAGAAAAAGGAAGGAATTCCGTGAGATGAAGGTAACCCGCACAAAGGCTTCGCGCCTTCCTTTAGATTAAAGAAAAAGGAAGGAATTCCGTGAGTGGAAGGGAACCCGCACAAAGGCTTCGCGCCTTCCTTTACGATTAAAGGAAAAGGAAGGAATTCCATGAGAGGAAGGGAAGCCGGACAAAGGCTTCGCGCCTTCCTTCACGATTAAAGAAAAGGAAATAAAAAGGAGAGATAGGAATTTTGTGGGCCCTCAGCAAGTCCTAAAAGGAAAGGAATTCCGTGAGAGGAAGGGAAGCCGCACAAAGACTTCGCGATTAAATAAAAGGAAAGAAAAAGGAGAGATAGGAATTTTGTGGGCCCCTCAGCAAATCCGATGCGAACTTTATCGTTATTGGTGCTAAGAAAAGAAGAGAAATGGAGATTCGTTTTTACTAGGTTTATTGGATAAAAGAAAACGTTGGGGGTTTACAAATGTGTGTGTGTGTGTGTGATGTGTGCGTGCGTATATTTCTATATACCTGAAATTTAGCTTTGTTGGATCCTTGAACTGGTTGAAGGCTCGCTTTAAACTTCGGAAACTCAGTTAAAATTTGAGCGTACGTGAACGTCAATGATCTAACAAAAGAAAATCAAAAGTCGTAACCATCCCTCGGAAAAATTCAAAGTTTAAATAAAATCTGTTCAGGGATGTAGACTTTAAAGAATACGATCGTTGGGACGACATAAATAGTTACGAGGAACATAACACGCTCCATCATTTTTTATGCGTACATATTTATGATAATGTATCTCATCTGTGAATACATTCGAACTTAAAACGTTTCCCAACAATTCCGAAATACTGGCGATTTTTAGACAAGGAATGAATGTTTAAATATCATATATAATCGTTTGAAAAACATTATGTAATTACATTTTAACCATTTATTTATTTTTAGACAAGGAATGAATGTTTAAATATCATATATGATCGTTTGAAAAACATTCTGTAATTACATTTTAACCATTTATTTATTTATTTATTTCCTGATAGGCACTGTCCTAGCAGCTGATTCCATCACGCATTCCGTCTTCCAAATTGACCTCGCGGGAGCAACCATCAAGAATAAAATAAACATCAATAATGCCTTAAACGGAGACATGGATTTCGATTATTTTGGAAATAATCTATACTGGTGCGACGCCGAGAAAAAAGCCATCGAAGTGCATAGCTTGCAAACCAGGGCTAAAACCGTGTTTCATTATCAGGAAGAACCGCGCAACATCCTCGTCATACCTGAGCTTGGGTGTGTTATCAGCATATTATCACTTGTTTTGCCACAATTTTCATATTTTTCTTTGAACTTGGACAGATATGAAAATTCATCAAATATTAGATCATACATCAACACCTACATTTTGTAACAATTAATTTTCAATTATCAGTAATTATCCAAGACAATTTTACCCTACAAGCGATATTGTAAAACATTAAGGCCCTTACTCATATCTCAGTGTTAGCATCGCTTTTAAACGTCTTTTAGTTAAAGATAATCGGACCACTGCTAAAAGACGTCATACTCATACTTTCTTTTTGTTGTTCTTGAGTTTGATGAACTTTGCCGCAAAAATGGAAGCTAGGTTGACAGAATAAAGCCGAAACCAAAGTCCAATTTCTTGGTTAGCCGAGAACGACATAAATTCGAGTTCAAAAGTCCCTGGTATTTATTTGATGCCCTGTATTCCCTTCGCGAGCTTTTACTCTGTGAAAAATGTCGTTAAAGCGTTCCATTTTTCATGTACGATTTTTACAACTAAAAGCTGCCAATATTTGATGTGTGATTTAAGCACCTGAAAGCGGTCTAAATGTCCCCCTAAAAACTTTTAAGGAATCGTCGCTCACTTTAATGCCTCATTTCCGCGTGTATGGAAATGAGGCATTATCCTAAAAGCGCTCAAAAAGAAGCTTAACCCTTTGACTACTAAGAGTGTCTAAAGGCGTCCGACGTTTGGTCCAATATTGCTTGCACGGTCAGACGAATTTCGCCCATATGTCAAAATGGCTCCGTGTTCAAAGGGTTAAAATGGGATATGAAGAGGTATTGCTGCTAAAATACGCCTTTTATGACTTATTTTAAGGATTTTCTATAAAAGTGGTTTAAAGGCAAGACATGAGTAAGGTCGCTTTTAACGGTGCTCTAAAATACGTCTTTTAACGCTAAAAGTGAGATATGAGTAAGGACCTAAATGGATCTACTAAAATCTTAGATAATGTCATTAATATCTTTTTTTTATTGCAGAATAATGTATGTGGTTTTCTTTTCGAATGATAATTTACACATAGACAAACTCGCTATGAACGGAAATGGCACCCAGATCCGTGTAATCGACGGATACGATTTGTTGGGGCCAAAAGTGGCATTTGCATACGACAGAGAACTCGAACGAGTGTATTGGGCTGATCAGGGATCTGGACATATCGAGAGCATGAACGCAAATGGTAAGTTACTTTAATTTTTGTTTAATTACGGTATCACCGTTTAAAAGTCACGACCATAAGTGAAAAGATTACTGCCACAACAAAATGATTAAAAATGAAGTCAGTAAGTGTAGCTTCGATAAGCAGCCATTTTGTAATCTGCTTAAGGGGATGTGAAAGTGACATCCGAAAGCTCAATCGTTCATAAAACTTTTCTCTGAACTGGGTGTCTCAAATCGTTTCATACCTTAAAACGTGAACATGCAGACCCTAAGGTAGGTCCTGAAACTCGCGAAATTTCATTTTTCATAAACAATATTTAAAATACCTTGAAATAATGAATGAATAAATTTGTAATGTGCTTAAGGGGATGTGAAAGTGACATCCGAAAGCTCAATCGTTCATAAAGCTTTCCTCCGAACTGGGGGTCTCAAATCGTTTCATACTTTAAAACGTGAACATGAAGATTCTAAGGTAGGTTCTGAAACTCGCGAAATTTCATTTTTCATAAACGATTTTTAAAATACCTTGAAATAATGAATGAATAAATTTGTAATGTGCTTAAGGGGATGTGAAAGTGACATCCGAAAGCTCAATCGTTCATAAAGCTTTTCTCCGAACTGGGGGTCTCAAATCGTTTCATACCTTAAAACGTGAACATGTAGACCCTAAGGTAGGTCCTGAAACTCGCGAAATTTCATTTTTCATAAACAATATTTAAAATACCTTGAAATAATGAATGAATAAATTTGTAATGTGCTTAAGGGGATGTGAAAGTGACATCCGAAAGCTCAATCGTTCATAAAACTTTTCTCTGAACTGAGTGTTTCAAATCGTTTCATACCTTAAAACGTGAACATGCAGACCCTAAGGTAGGTCCTGAAACTCGCGAAATTTCATTTTTCATAAACGATTTTTAAAATACCTTCATGAAAATCGGACGATGGCTTCTATATGAAACAGCCAACTCACCCCCTTGCACGGCCAACTTTGAAGCCTAATTTCACCCCCTAAAAGTGTTTATCCGCCGATAAAAAAAAACACGAGTCCCTTAGATTTTAGTCCGCTATAACATATTTAAAAATGAACAAAGTCGGAGGGGGATACCTCAGGTACCTTCCTTGTTAGAGCTAGAGATAATCTATCGAGTGGGTTACATGGGACGTAACTAGAGTTCTAAATCCAGTAAGTTACGTCAAAAACGAAGAGAAATTCCCGGTAACTTATCGGTCATTTCTCCAAAGCCTTTTTTATCGAGAAATTATGAGAATTTGAATTTTTCAACGGATCGAACGAGAGGTTTCGATTAGCTATAGAGAAACATCGTATAGGGGAATTTCCGTTGTACGTTCTCCGTAGCCAATCAAAACCTCCCATTCGCTTTGTCGCAGAATGAAATATCAGTTCATTTGAAACAAATCGCATGGAATTTTCCGTGGAGTTGTAGATACGTGAATATTTTTAGCTGGAGGTAAATACGACCCTATAATCAATATTTTCTAATAGTAATTATTACTCTATAGCTTGAACTTTAAAGTTGATTGAAAAAAAAAAGTTATTTAAACGAAGAAACCTAAAGTGTAAATAACAAAATTAACGTTCTCTTAAATTCTCAATGTTTCCGGTAACTTACGGTATGTTTCACAGTTACCTTCTCCAATTTAATGTTACCGAGAATTTTCGAACTCTAGACGTAACACCTTCCTTATAGTCTTCCTATTCACGTTGTAAAGTTTCACCCTATTCGGTAAACCGAGTTGGGAGAAAAGTTTTATAAACAAAACCACTTCCACGCCACTTTCACATCACCTTAATATGTGGAATATCGATTGTTCAATTGTTCTTCTAGGTAAGGACAGGAGAAATGCTCAAAAAAACCTGAAGGAACCTGTGAGCATCGCCATACTTGGAAATGATCTGTTCTGGACATTACGGAAATCCAGTCAACTATTTTGGGCACCAAAAAATGGTTCCGATCAGAAGGCCGTTACTTTAAGTAAGTTCAGTATGTACCAATTAGTTATTCCGAATGTAACTTTATAAACCATTCGTGGCTCTTCAAAGTAATGATGTTCAGTCTAATACCCTTAAAAATAAGCGTCATCCTCTTCGACTCTACTCCAGAATTTCTTATTCTCATTGGTAGACCTCCTTTGAATTTCCATTCCCTTTTCTTCCCACCCCTCCGAGTTTTCTTAATAACTTAGAATAATCGAACTCAGTACATTTTAACCAGACTCCGACCTGTTAGGACTAAAGTAACAAAATAAAGACTCCAATCTTAAGGTGAAGTGAAACAAATCAGTCGATTCGAATACAACACTTTTTTTAAAGGGTATTAGACCAAACTGTGCAAAACTTTGACACATCCTGATCATCTAAGAATTGTCCTGACAAATTCAAAATTTGGATTTTTTTAACAAATTTTTTTACTCAGTCCAGACCAAAACCAAAATGGCGTCGAGCTCTGATATTTCGATCAATATACAATTATCGAAGGCTCTGATATGAGAATCGAAAGGGTCAGGACAATTTTACAACAATTTAGAACACTCTGGTAATCGATAAACTCGCATTTGAACGGGATAAAGGCAAAAAAAGTGTTGTATGCGCTTCTATGCTAAAACGATGGTAATACGAGTTCTCAGAGTCCAAATCTAATTGCCCTGGAAATCACAGATGGCACAGGGGGTCCCTCCGCAGTCAATTAGGGCCCCAGAAAGCACGAATCTAGAGGATTTCTGGAGTTTTACTTCGATTTTTTTATAATTATTGTACGAAAACGACAGGTGGAATATGCCATTTGGTACAATACCCAATATAATTCGACCCAGCTGTCAATATAAAAACGAACGTCGGCAACGTAGGCATTTAGAAAAATCTTCTTTATCGACGTTGATCAAGTTCCTCGACGTGTTTCACTTCACCTTAATCTTGCCTTCTAAACGCTTTTGAATCCATTACATTATAATTATTTCTCCCTCGTTCCTATTTTATGCATTTAATATTCCTTGGATAGTTAGTTGTGCCCATAATTATGAAAGTGGTCTGTCAAAATAAAAAAAAAATGAGTTTATCAGTTATTTCACGCCATATTATTTCAAACGAAATTAATTCAATGTAACTTCGAAACAAAAAACGTATGACTTAGACCACTTTCATAATTATGGGCACAGTTGACATTTAGAAATGGATCATTAGAATAAACATTTCCTTTCTTTTTTTGCCTATTAGATGTTCCAGAGAATATAGAGCGCATGCACCTTACGAACATATACGGAATTTACGCAAATCCTCAACATACTTGTCGTCTGAACAATGGAGGTTGCTCTCATGTTTGCCTCGTAGTAACTTCAAATACGCATGTAAGTATGTTTTTTATCAAATAAAAAGTCGATGCGTGGCCGCCACACGCATTGGAAGTGGAATATCTAATTGTTAGTGTTCGAACCTAAGGACCGATTGCGAGAACAATTTCACGATAATATGCGAACTTACATGTACTACCGTATTTATTAAAGGTAAATATTGTTTGGAAGAAGAAATCTGGTTTTATGAATATTTTCATAAATTCTAGGTTTGCGCGTGCCCTCCTGGATTGATACTAAGTGAAAACGAAAGAACCTGCAAATCTCAAGTTGCCTGCACCTCTGATCAAATAAATTGTAAATCGGGCAGCATTTGTATCGACAAAAAACAAAGGTAATCTTTAATCGGGTATAAATTTATTTCTTTTGTAAAATTTTTATTCGGACTTGGATCGTTGGAAAGAGACGAGGGAATTGGGAAAGGCGATTACAAAATAAAATTTGGAATTTTCACGCGTCATGTGCAATTTTCGGTGTCATTAAATATAAACATTTCAGGTGTAATGGCATTTTGGATTGTCCGGACGGAGAGGACGAGATTAATTGCGGCCATGCGTTACATTGCGGCGAAAATGAATTTATGTGCAAAAACGGGGAGTGCATTAATATGAAGAAAAGATGTAATTCCATTTTCGACTGTAAGGACCGATCGGACGAAGAAACGTGCAACCTCAACCCCTGCAAACCTGGTAATTATCCTTTCAATTTAATTATGTTATTATTTAATATGTTCTTGTGAAACTTCCACAATGTTAAGGCCCTTGTAACGTAGAATCGGCCATCTTGAATTAGTAATAAAAACTAGCATTCGAAGAAATTAGATATTCACGAAATGTGTCAATGGGTCAGTGTTTAGCAAATCATGCACAGAGGAACAAAATGTTACTTTTTGAATATAGATCAATGAAAATTCCGGGAAACAAACAAGATAGACATGATATCACAAACACGGACCATCCGACACAGGTTACGAATGCAGATTATTTTAGCACCAATATACTGATAAAGAAATAGATAGTCTGGAAGAATACCGGTGGGGTATCACGTCTCAGTAGGAAAAATCACAGCTCTGATATAGGTTTCAATATCTTAATAGGAATAAATATTTGGCCTCTCAGCAGCAACCTAGGTGGACGTTTCGATCCAGCTGATTGGCTCGGAAGCTCAGATAGTTGGAGCATCTATTGATAATAGAAAGATAACGAGCTTGATCTTCTAACCATAGGTTTGCCTAGACCCCTTTTCTTGTCCTAGTGGACCTTGGTTTCCATCCGTATATAGTACAGTAATTGTACCTCCGTGCTTGTAGCCAAAAACATCGACAGTGGGAATTGATAAAGGCCCATGGAGAGACGGAAGTTAACAATTTTTACTTCTTCCAAAGCAAGAAAATGTTGAAGCCCTGATTGTTGGGTTGTCTCGATGTTTATGGCCAGAGTAGATTATGTACAGAGTAGTTTTAGTGACTGTAGCAGCTTGATGAACAGGAGTTGAGTCCCTTCTTGAGCGTGTTCGTGACATGGTATCCTCCCTGATGGTTCCCCGGAAACGAAAATGAAAATTTGTTCGTCTCGCGGGACAATTTTTCACCTTGCAAAATAGTTAGATAAGTAACCGATGTTGCAAACGGAAAATTAAAAATATCCTTCTTGTGATTTTATGCAGGCGAATTTCGATGTCGAAAAGGTAATTGCATTCTCAAGTACAACGTGTGCGATGGTAAAAACGACTGCGATGACTTTTCCGACGAGCTCGATTGCAAAAGTAATACCTGCGACACGAGTAGCTTCCGTTGCGATTCGGGAAAGTGCATCCCCAAGGATTGGAAGTGCGACGGTCAGGTAAACGAATTACAAAATTCCCCTTCATTTTTGTGAAATAAAAAAATATATATATATGTATATTCTGAAACTTTAACGTGATATGAAAGTGTCATTCTATATATACAACAGGTTAAAGTATGTTTAAAATTTTTCTCCAAACTGGGTGCTAATTCTATTCTTTGCAAATTTTTAAATAGATATGGACATGTTTTGTACCTTAATCAAGACAGGCATGACTCGTTCTTATAACGCTAAGAATTAATATAAAAGAACAAGGTGAAAATTATCGATAAGCTGGAGGATCACTTTCCAATTTCCTTAAAAAATTAATGTTGCCTTTTTCTCTGAAAAGAAAGCAAAAAATTAATATAGAAAAGCAACGGGAAAATTATCGATAAGCTTGAGGATCACTTTCCAATTTCCTTAAAAAATGAATGTNTTTCAAATGTCTGCTAAATATTTACAAAATGTTATTGTATTCGTTAAATATATAGAAAATATATGAGAAATATTTTCTGCTACTAGGGTTGCTGCAATTATACTTTAAAGTAGTCAGATATATCCCCCTGATTATCAATTGCTTGGATAATAAAAAAATTGCCGCCTCTGATAACTAAGTAATCGAGTAGCCAAAAAATGTCTTCCGATTACTGATTAATCTAGTAATCAAACAATTTTTCCTACTGATTACAAGTTAATCTTTGTAATCAGATCTATGTTCTGGGATAGTTTAACAAGTTGCTACGAGATTACAGGAAAAACTAATCATATGGCAAGCGGTAGTAACTTCGAAATTACTAATTTCGGGGTTTCGATAGCACTTGAAAACTTCACTAATCACGAAATCTCGGAAAATTGGCACCTAAAAAATTCGGCCTTTTCCCATAAAATTATAGTCTAGAGGTACTTTATCTATTACTAAAGAATTGATCTTTTTTCCAGATGTAATGGCATCCAGGACTGTCCCATGAACGATGACGAATATCGGTGCTATGAATGCGAACGTGGAGAATTTATGTGCGAAAACAAACGCTGTATACAAAGATCCTGGGTCTGCGATAAATTCGATGACTGCGGCGACAAATCCGACGAGATTAATTGCGACAACAATGATAATGTAAATCTCGCAAACAACGCATCGACATCGTGCGAAGGATTTAGATGTACTTCTGGTTTTTGCATCTCTTATAAGAATGTTTGCGACGGTGTGCGAGACTGTTCCGATGGAAGCGATGAAGGTGGAAAATGCGGTAAGTATTAATAATGCGACGAGTCGATTACTTTACCAACTCGAGTTACTCGAAATTGCCAACTCGAGTCGATGATTTGATTATTCATTTTCTAAACGTAAAATAATAAATCGTTATTTCAATATCTATCTTAAAGTACGGTTAATAACACGCTTAGACAGCACTTGCACTCTTGTTTTATTTATTTTCTGTACTTGTTTGGAAAATGACTATTAACCGCCTGAGCCACCTTAATTAGAAAATATGAGGGAAAAGTTAAAAAATTAAACGTCAAATAATCTCGATTAAGCCATTAACCCTAGTAGCACGGAATAATTTCTATATATTTTCTTGAAATCTTTGCTAAATATTTCAAGCATGTAATACACATGTAATATACATATATACATTTTTTACTTTACAATTATTATCGAATCCCTCATTTGAGATCAAAAAGCACGACAAATTTTTGCAATATTTTCATTCCGCTATTTCATTATGGGAGCGGAACGTGTGATTTTT